TTGATTAATTAAGCAATTTAATTAATCAATTAATTAATTATTTATATTTTAATGCCGTTTTATTAAAAAATTTTTATTCTAAACTTTCATCACCTATTTACTTTTATTATTAATCGATACAATAAATCTTTTACAAATGCAAAATATTTTAAGGTCGACCAGCTTAATGGATTTAGCACCAAAAATTTCTGATTATTTCTATTATCAGTGAAATTTTGCAAAAAAAGTCTGATAAATTTTAAGAATTGCAGTTAAACGACAACGACGGTCGTATTATTCATTCGCTCTATAATGGTAATTAAAAAATAATTGCTCATTTTAAAAATACCTTCAAATAAGAATAATTCATTAAAGGATGCCACAGGATTACTAAATGAATGAATGAATTATCATAAAAAATAAAAATATAATAAAATTCAACAAAAAAAGCAATTAACATGAAAATTTTTCCCGTCAAATGACGATGATTTATTTATTTTTCTATTTCCATTTCGAGTCGAATAATTGCGATTTAAAAAAAATATTTTTAGAAATTTTGCTCAATGTTAGGTAAAAAAGTTTGCACTTTATAAGTTTTCATTCTTAATTTATTATAATGTTAAAGTTATTTAAAATTTAAAAGATTCATTTTCACCTTAGTTTATTTCCTTCTACTCTGTGTAACAAAATTAAGGAGTATAAGGGTTAAACGAGATATTGCTGCGACTAATGTCAATAAGCCTCGTGGGTTTAATTCCTTTATGCTTGCCATGGAAAGTAAAATCTGAGTGGTGGACGAGCTTATTAGTATATTCCCAAAAGACTTTCTGGTGAAAGAATTTCGTATCATTTTAAGCCAGAAACTACGACTATCATTAGAAAAAGAAGGAAGGTCGAAAGCAAATTACGCAGAAAAAAAGAACTGAAGATTAATAACCACATTTCTTTTGTACAGAAAATATACGGCAAAGTCACCATCTAATCGAAAGTCCGCGACTATACTGTTATGTATCGCTCAATCTTGTTGTATGACTGCAAGACCTGGCCAATGTGAGTGGAAGATTAAGAGCTTATCTACCTATTGACTACTGATGCCTGAGATGCATTTTATGAATTCGCCAAGCAAATAACACCTCATATAATTGTATCCACTTCTGCTTAAACATTATCAGCATTAATGCTATCGTAGGGCGTCAGCTTTGCTGGCTACGCCACTTTTTTCCTCGCTCAACCCTATGTTGATAATAGAAGAGAAAAGAAGCAACGAATTTAAGCTTATAGGTCGAGGAGCGATATATGTAAACGTAGACGAAAGAAAAAGGAATAGCTTCTATTACTGTTGGAGATGAAATGGCATCGGATCGAATAACTTGGAAACGCACCTTTTTAACAACTAAGTAATGAATATTAAAAAAAGAAGAATAATTTACAAACAGCTTTTGTTGTCTCTTGACAAGCGGAAAAGGCCAAATCTTCTATGAAGAGTTAAATCATAAATCCTATCGGCATTGGCGTTCCACGCTTATCTCTCTAATCTCAGTAAGTTAAACCAGTTCAGCTTATTCGTTTTGTACTTAGTTTATTAAATAGGATTATAAGATTTGACAGAATTTGTTATTTCTGAATATATTCCATAATAAGACGAAGTTAAGCCTTTAATTTTCATCTAATTTTCTTCGATCTTCTCAAGATATATATTTTGTGAATTTGCGATCTCAAATTGTTGTATTTTAGTTGGTTTTCAATTAGCCATTTTAAGTTTTTACGAATCCTTCGAGCAATTGGCATAGAAAATTGCTTTCCAAACATTTTTTATTCTATTCAATGCATAAACAGTGATAATTAATATTTTTTTTGAGCAAATTTTTCCAGGAAATTTTTTTTCTTCATTATTATTTTTTATTAAAATAGTAAGTAAAAATTTAATTTTCAATAAAAATTCAATAATTCTCATGAATGAATTCTTTGTGAATTATAGAAATATATTTTCTTATTAATTATGTCGCAATAAATGGGTGGTGGAATGACTTATTAGTGGATTGTTGCTTAATTTGCACCTATGCTAGGGTTCTATTTCCTTCCCAAAAATCCGGATGATGCTGGCGATTGTATTTCTAGCGCCAAGGAACTTCCTGGCATATTTGTTTAGTGCGATAAGCCAGCAGAGCGAGTTTAACCAGTAATGGTGAGGACCTTTAGAAAAAAAAAATATTGCAATGCATAAATAATGCATAAAAATGCCAATTTCTTTCTTTGCTTTTTATTTCAAAATAAGAAATTTTATCAAAAAAGTTTAATTCTTTCAAGTATAAAAGAAGTTTATTTGATGGTTTTGATGCATTGTTTTCAAAATTTTTTTTCTCCATTAACTATTCGTCCTCATTTCGGAATTTCGAAATTTTTTTTCCATTACTCACCATTCGTGGTTAGACTCGTTCTGCTAGCTTATCGGACCAAACAAATTTTGCCAGAGAATCAGTAGAATCAGAAGTGCAGGTGAATCAATAGCATCATCAGGATTTTTGAAGGAAAGATTCATTAATGCTGATCGTAGAACCTCAGCATTGGCACTCCAAACTAACTACCCACTGAATCATTCCATCTTCAGGAAGCTGCATCAGTCGAATTAGAAATCCAAACCATTCTCGATTCTGGGTGCGAATAACCTTCCACTAAGCCACCGAGGCCATTAAAATTCTGGTGATTTAATTATATTTATGAGATTTTGAATTTTTTCATTCAATTATATTTTATATATCACTTTTGCCAATAATTCTTATGTTTTTTTGATTTTTTAATATTTTTTACTTTGTTTTTTTTCCTTTTTTTATTTTAGTTTTATTTTTATTTAAAATTTATTTATTATCAATCAAATATGAAAATTATTTTCAACGACAAATGAACTGAAAACAAACGACAGAATTATTTTCATAATTCTGCAATTTTAATCAATTTACTGGCAGAATGAGGGTCATTTTAAATGGATGGATAGAAAAACGATGATACAAGATTTTGGATAGTTGACACAGCATTATTAGTTGTAGCCTGATTTTTATCTCACTTGGCCATTATTATTGGCCACTCTTGCACCAAAGAAATTTTGTATGGAGCCGTTTTATTCTATATTGCTACTCGCAAAATTTCCATCGTACTTATCTTTTACTTTGCACTTTCTTTTATTTTATTCCAGTTTTTCTTTCAAAAACAATGAAAACTACTTTCAATATTTTTTAGTTATTAAATGTATACCTGATGATGCAGTCTTTTTTGTTGACAGTTATGACGAAGCGCAAACAATGTTAAATAACATGTCAACTTCAGCAAGAATCGGACTGAGGGTCAAAGTAAATAAAACGAAAGTCTTTTCGTCTTATTCACAAGAAACTTCTTTATAAACTGTATAAATTGTTGGTTGAGAAAGTGCCCGGTTTTAAATACCTTGGTTAAATACCTTGGTTCCATTCTAATACCGAATAGTCAAGCAAAAGACGCTATTACAAAACAGATTATGGCAGCTAGAAATGTATTCTTCTGGTTTACGAAATCTTTATGGAACCGTAGCGAAATTGCCATAAAAATGAAAGCCTGCATCCACACAACATCGCGATTGGTTTCATCTTGTTATATGGCTGCGAGACAACACCAGTGAGAATGGATTATCTGCCTTTGATCACTCATATCTAAGGTACAGATTCACATAGTGGATAAAAATCTCACAATATCGCATCCACTTTAGTTCAAATACCACCTGCCCTAATAATACCATCATAGAGAGTCGCCTTCGCTATTTAGGATACGTTCTTCGTTGCCTACCACAGGAGTTAACAAATTTCATTACTTGTTAAAGCGTGTGATGGATGGTGTCGGAAACGAGGTGAGCCAATCAAGACCTGGACTGATACGATCAGAAAAATTTTGGCATTGGTGGACCAGCAATTTTTGGACGATGGAAAAAGGAATGGCTTCTATTACTGTCGATGATCAGAGCACCAGAGCACCAGAGCACGCCACTTGGAAGCGTCTTACCCTTGTAGCCCTTGGAGCCAGCCTAACCAGTAATGATGAGAGCTATTCGAAGAAGAAGAAATATGCGTACAAACGATGATTTGTTTTGCTATGAACCAGAATATTCGAATGTTGCTTTTCTTCCTTTTTTTGAATTATTCTTTTCTTAGTGGACTGGGAGAATTTCCATCCGACATTCACTGTTTGATTGTTTTCCTAAATTTGTCATGATTGAGTAAAGGATGAACAATTTCTCTCTTAAAAGAGCTAAAGATGGTTTAAACTGGTTTAAACTGTTTTTGACTGAGTTAATCTTAGAAACACATTCATTCAATTTCTCTTTCTTAGAAATTCAAAACTTGCTTTTTTTTCATTTTCCTTTAATTTTTTCATAATATTTATGCATAATCAGGGCACTTTTCAGGATTTTTTTGTACAAAATTCCATCAAAATGCTATCTTTGGTTTTCTGGAAATTGGTTTTCGAGAGTTTTAGTTAAGTCGATCGATTTTCAATTTTATTTGAGCCATTAGCGAAAACAACTGTTCCTACTTTATATCTTTTGTTTAGATTTTGTCTAGCTTAGAGTTTACTGACGAAGTTTTATGGGGTCAAGAATCCAGGATTTAATTTATCTAATACTGAATATTTCTTAGATTTTCATTCTCTATTCTAAAATAAATAGAATAAATAGGGTGATCCCGATAGAAATAAATTTTTTGCTTTTGAAGAATTATTGAATTCTGTGGCAAAAATTTGACATCGTTTCAATAATTCTTTTCGTTTTTCTTTAAATTGGCCAAAACTCAAATACAGTTTTTTCATTTATTACTTCAATTATTGTTGCGGCTCGCAGTATAAAATTTCATGCATTATGTGAAAAATAAACTCTCGTAAATTCTGTTAATTTAAATTTTTATGAAGAAAAATAAAATTTGTCAAAATGATGGAATCTTCTAATTGTTTAATCTGGAATTTAATTATCATTTCATTACTATTATTTGCTTTAGAAATAAATGGCTGGCAAAAAATTACTGGCATTCGTCTTAACGTTTTGCTTATTATATTCAACGGTGGACTCAGGCAAAGACCGTGGTAAAAAAAAAAGGACGAAGGATAAAGAAACAACTGATCGCGATACAGCAACAATAACGAATCGAGATGAAGGTCGACATTCTATTCAAGTTTTTTAATCCTTTTATCAATTTTCGCTTCATTTTATCAAATTTAACATTTCTTTCTCAAACATTTATTTGCAAATAAATATCAGCCAAGCGAAAAGCAGCAAACGTGATAAAAATTGAAAAACCGAGAGAAATACAAATTATCAATGCCGTAGAACACGTGATTACGTATAGAATAATTATAGAATTTTCTCGAATCCGTCAATTATCATTGGTTTAAAAAATAAATATCAGAAGATAAATCTTGTTTTTTCTTATTATATATTATTATTTATAGTATTTCTGTAAAAATATTTTAATTTATGGAATAAAATAGCCAAATAGTAGGAATAATTTTCTAATTTGTCTTCAATTTGACCATGGTTCCCAAATGGTTTTTTTGGTTGAGCATCTTTTTTTAAAAATATTTTGTAAAAAAAATGGTTTTTTAAAGAGATTTTAAAGAGAAAAAGATTTGTTAGAAAAAAAAACAAAGCAAAAAAAATGAAATTATAGAATAGCCATCAATTTAATACTTCCTCTACGTGGAGGTTTACCTGACCAGGACAGCTAGAAATGCGTTCTTCTGGTTGACGAAATCTTTATGGAGCCATCGTGAAATCACCATAAAAACGAATCTATATAGCCGTGATTCGTTCGATCTTGCTATATGGCTCTGAGACATGGCCAATAAGAGTGGAGGACGTTAAAAAGTTATCTGCCTTTGACCACTCTTATCTAAGATGCATATTACAGATCCGTCGAGCGGATAAAATACCACATGATCGCATCCACCTTCGTTCACTTGCATAAATAATGTTATCACAGAGCAGCACCTTCGCTGGTTAGGGCACATTCTCCATAGTCCACCACAAGTGTTGACGCATATTTATGCAAGCCCTGTGATAGGTGGCGTCAAAAGCGAGGTGTACCAATCAAGATTTGGACTGATACGATCAGAAAAGATTCTGAGCATGTAGGTGGACCAGTAATATATGGACTTAGACGATGGAAAAAGGAATGGTTTCTATTATTGTCAACGATGGCATCAGACCATGCCATTTGGAAGCGTCTTATCCTTATAGCCGTTTGAGCCAGCCTAATCAGTAATGGTGAGAGCTGTTCGAAGAAGAAGTTGGGGTTTTGCTCCTCTTCTACTTCCTCAACTTGCATTGTCTCGTCTTCTTACTACACGTTGGAAACCTATGCATTATGGCAATAAATAAACGATAGAGCAAATGCAAATGCAACATATGTGCTTAATTAACTAATTTTATTCAATAAAAAAAATTTCATAGGACTGAATTGATTTTCATAAAATTACAGAACGAGAAGAAGATCGTAAAGAAATATATAAAGGAAAGAAGAGTAGCAGTAGTAGTGAAGAAGATGAAAAGAAAAAAGATAAAAAAAATGGAACGGATACTGTACAAGGGGAAAAAATGCGTACAAAACGTTGGGGTTTTGGCGATGTCGGTTTTATTTCTGTCTTTATCAAAACTCTTTAACGAGATTAAGGCTCAGGCATTTAGCAGCCAACAATGCTAATCCATTCATTCGCAAATTTACAAAAATGCTTTTAATACAGAAACGATTTGATTCAAATGAAATATAAGTGAATATAGAAATAAAATTTTGAAATGATTAAAAATGATTAGAGAAAATAGCAAAAATAAATCAGAAATTTGCTTCCAGTTTCACTTAAATTTCGTTATTTTAATTTTCCTCATTTAACTAAAACCAAAATTTAAAAAAAAACAAAATTAAATAAAAATAAAGATTTTAATAAAATGATTGCTATCAACGAATAAAATTTTCTGTTTAACACAAAAGAAATATTTTAAAAAATTGGTTATTTTATTTACAATAATATTAGGTTCATTAAATAATATATTAAATAATAAGTAAATAATTTATATTGTTTTTTGCCCAAAAATTTTATTGTCGCATATATAATTTAGACTGGAAATAAAGGAAATCTACAGAATCTAATGAAATCTAAAGAAGTAAGTTATGGATTGTATTTTTAAAAAATAAATTAGTGGCAAAAACAAATTACAGGAAAATGAGAAATATTAATTAAACTTTTCAAAAAATATGAATTTTCGCAATTTATTTAAAATTGAAATTGAAATTAGGAAATGGATCCATATAAAATTCTAAAATTTAAAAAAAAATTAGAACGAAGCGGTGTTTTCTAGCTGAATGATGGCAAAAATATACCAGTAAAAGAAACTCAGCCTTCCGATATGGTTGGTCTTAAATTAATTTGTCAGATTTATGTTTTATTCTAATAATAAAAAATTAATAATAATTATTATTATTAATAATAATTAATAATAGCAAAAAACTTATTGTTTAACAAATTTTAGCAAATACAAAATAATAAAGTTCTTAAAATTCCCATATTTTTCCAGATCCATTCCCCATGCATTATACAAATATATGCCATTTTTCATTTGATGAGCCATCTTCTGCCTTGCAAGCCATTAAAAAGTTTTAGCCTTACCTTATGTTATTGAAATCACGAAATTGGCTTAATATGTCGTGTCCGGTTTTTTGCTTTTGCCATGCTATTTAAATGATAAATGAAACTTATTTTTATTTATAGATTCATCGATTTGTACGCCAACTGAAAAAATCGCAGGAAGTAAATATAATATTTTAATATTTTAAGAATATTTCTTCTTGTTTTCATAAGAAATACTAAAAATAATAAGAAAATTTCGATTACACTGAAATATTAATATTCTTAAATGATAAAATATTTAAAATTTGAGAAAATGAATACAAAATTGCTTGGATAGAAAGGATTGATTGATCAAATATTACATTATTTATATATTATATTTATGTTATATAATTATTGTATTTATATTATAAATTAAATAAAATTTATATAATATAATAATATTATATTATATAATATAATAATCATTATATTATATAATAAATTGGAAACATTGATTTTATGATTTTTAAGTAAAATTTTCTTAAAATCCAGATGACTTCGCCTGTATATAAATACATTTTTCAGTTGAATGATGGTGAGAATATACCAGTTTCCGATGCGAATGCCATGAAACATAAGGCGGATAAAGTAATTTTATTGCGTCTTTTTTTGTAGTGAAATTTCATTGTACTTTAAATATTCTAAAAATTCTCTTCAGTTGTCGGTTCAGTTGTCAGTAATATGCAGTAGAGTTTAAAACAGGGCGATAGAAGTATAAATGAGTATAGTAACACAACTTGCTGATAGGTCTAGTTCTATCGCAGCAAGAAATTGGGCCTATAATGCTCGACTGGAATCATGTCCACGATCACTGTCTCAGCCTTCGACTATCTTTGAATTCATTGAGATGAATAATCGAATTAGTGGCATGGATGATAAGTTTTCAAATTGCCAAATCCGATGTGTAGCTAGCTGAACGTGGCTCAAACCCTCTAAGCGCATATTTCATTGAAATGCCTATGTATTCAACTCTTAACTGAATCAGTTCATTTAGAAGAAAATTTCAGTTTTTTTCTTCATTTTCGCGCAATCCATTAGCAATTAATGAGATATACATTAATCGTTGAGATCAATGTAAACATGAGAACATAGCTGGCCAGCGGACAACATCATTAATGCAGATGCAGAGGGCGAAGAACTATTCGCTAATAAAAAAAATATACCTTAAAAATGAGTGGTCTTCCACTTTTACTGGCCCATATAAAAAGATAGCACGAATTGAAGCTAAATGGATGCGAATTTTCCAAAAGAGAGCATTTCTATCTACGGCTTTCGATGTAGAAATTTCGTCTTTCTTTCAGCCACTTAGTACCATTTCCTCAATTGATAGCTTGAACTTATCATTAATATTTTCTAATATAAGTATTTTATATTATAATATTTAATTATGAAAGTCCATTCTTCGGTGCATAATCTAACGTCGGTTTCTGTTCAACATAATTATCAGCAAAAAGGACTACTTCAACAGCGTATTCAAGAGCTGTGTTACTCTGGTCTAGGCTGACTTGACTTTGAATATCTGCCTATGATGTGGTGCTCATAATCAAGTCTATCGCATAGTTAGATACTCTGTCAAGGAAACTCTGTCGCATATCTAATGGATGTATCAGAATACATATCTATGGGACGGCGATGCTTTTATTTAAGATCATTTTCTCTGGAAAACTGTTGCATTCCATCATTTTAGCAAAGTATTTCGAAAAATTACATATTAATATTGATTATTACTGATAAAGGGAGGAAGGGAGGAAGATTTGATTCGATTGTCGATAAATTCTAATATTTTGAGCAAATTTTATAATAGTTAAAGTTATTTTTTCGATTTCTGAAAATTGTTTTAGTTATATCAAACTGAATTACTGGCAGAAACTGCAACGACTGATTTAACGTTTCTTTAATTTCGTACAACCAATAAAGCAACTTCAAACTTCAAAATCAAACTTCAAAACTAGCGAAAGATTTATTTCTATCTTAAGATAATTAACATCATTATAAAGTAATTTTCAAAAATTTCAGGAAGTGACATTAATTAAATTGTAAAGGAACAAAAGAATAAATAACGGCTACCTATTATAATTCGTGTTTCATCAAGTTTATTGGAAGAGAAAATGCAATAAATGTTTTAAATATGCAAAATAAAATGATTAAATATGTCGAATGTTCAAAAAAAGGAAATTAACTAATATTTTTTAAAATTTCAATTTCCGATATTATTTCGAAAATGACAAATTCATTTATTTTTATTTCGAAAATTTAAATTTTAATTGAATAAAGAATTTTAGTCATATTTTCGCAATTTATAGATTTTTCAATAAAATTATTTTGAGTGTAAATACTTTTATCTTAAATTTTTCTTCCAAACCTTTCGCATTGCAGTTTCACAGTTTCATAATAAATAAAGAAATTGAGGAACTGGGAACTAAGAACCAGTAAAATTATCCGTATAATTATCCTGCAAAAATCCAAGAGTTCTGCAAAAAATATGACTATCACATTTTTTTCAGAAATTGATAATTTCTTAGCGATAAGCTTAGTAAAACATAGTTTTTAAAAAAATGTTTAATGGGACTTTACTGCGAATCATGAAATCATGAAACAAAAAATGTTAAAGCAAGAAGACCTCAACATTTCTTTCGATGTTTCCTCTGCTTTATTTGACTTTTTAGTCCTTTGTAGTAATTTAAACAACTGCATCATCGACTAAATCAGCTATAGACATAAAAAAAATATTATTTATTATTTATTATTTTCTCTTTTTTTATTTTTTTCAAATTATCATCATGTTCCGATTGTCTTTTTATGTCCACCATTATCAGTTATCATTATTAGGCGAGTTCTTTTATGATTTATTAATTCTGACGTCTGTTTTTATAGAGAATGATTGTACTGATAGCTTTGAAGAGAAATTTTGTAATTTGTATAGAAGCGAAGAGTTTGATAATAAACCTTCATCTATTATCAATGCATTCTTATCAAATGATGAGCAACAAATATTATCGGTTTATACACTCGATCGATTATAACTATTTTATTGCATAAAAAAATTGCATTATTCGATTTCATAATTTTCTTTTCTTTTATCATAATTTATATGTAGTATGATAATTCTTATCACTTCATATGGATATATTCGCTTGTAGATGATAAGTGCCTCGAATTCTTTTAAAATTGAAATCTATATTATTGCTTTTAGAAGATTTATTTCTGGCTTTTTTAAAATTAAAAAACTTTGTTTCAACTGATATTTGATTTCCTTTTTCATTTGTGATTTTTATCAAGAAAATAACATAAATTTTTCGAAACTTTATTTCAAAGCGCATTTCATTTTACCGAATTGTTTTTTAATTGAAATTTGGTTCAATTTCATCCTTAAAATTTATCTCATATATATATATATTTAAATATTAGAATGTAATATCAATAATAATGGAAGAAAAGGAACTGCCAAAATTAGCTGCAATATTGATCTTTAACGAAAAAAATATTTTAATATATTGCCATGGAACTGAAAAATTTCATTCCATTTTATCGAAAGATTTGCTGATGAATTGCGTTAATGAAAATATTCATGCAACTTCTTCCAGGGAATCTTCTTCAGAGGAAGGAGCAATTTGGATTGAGGTGCTCCTTTGTTTTTTGCAATTTTTTTCAAAATGCACCAAAAGAGAAGAAACTAATAAAATAATTTAGAAAACTTATAAGATGACAAGAAAAATTGAGTTTGAGACATTTGAAAACCGCAAAAATCTTGGGCAATAAAAGTAATTAATTAATTAATTAGATCTATAAATCAACCGATCATTTTCACATAACAACCCGGTGAAGTTAATTAATCTTTAGTTGCAATGAATTATTTTAACATTCTGCGGAAGAAATTAGTTGTCTCGTATCACATATCACATCATATCTTATTCTATATACTTGTAACTACGACTCCTAAACTAGAAAAGTGGTTTCAGCAGATTCCAGAAACAACATCAAAGATCTCAATCCAGAAGAGCGCACTATTAAGAACTCTTAAGATAGTGCGCAGAATCCTCAATCTCCCAGGCATCTGGTAGAGGATACGATTGAGGGTGATCACCAGTAGGAGTCGTCAGAAAAGTTTTTTAAAAAATACAAAATTTTTTTGAAATTTTTCCGATCATTTCTCCATATATTTCTTTATTCAGCACGATGAATTTCCACCAGTACAAATATTTTTTCCAATGCTAATGGTATATCGGGTTACTTTCGAATGGTTCGGTGATGCATATGAGCTTATTGAGTCAGATAATATCAGAATACAATTTACTTCATTACCAGAATCATCAGTGATGATTACGATCACTGAGAGGTTCATTTAAGTTTTATATTTTCAAGCCTAGTATCTTCCTTCCATTAGTTATTAAGTATGATAGGTGGCCGTATTAAATATTTTTCCGAGGTAACGCCTATTATTTTTATATAAATAAAATTATAATGTATTTTTACTCGAGAAATTCTATAATTAAAAGAACGAATAAATCGTCCTTAATCTAATCTTGAAAATTTCTTGCAGAGAAAATTCTAGAGCAGAGTTTCTAAAGCAGTGAGAATTTGTAAAATACCCTTTTAAATCCTTAAATGAAAGTTATTTCTTAAAATGAAATTTGATTTTTAAAATTTTAAAATTAAATTAATTAAATAATTAATTAATAATAATAATTAATAAATTAATAATCAATAATAATAAATTAATATAATATATGTTAATTAATAATTAATTAATTAATCAATTAAATTTTAATTTAATTTTAAATTTTTAAAATTTTTTGATTTTTGAAATTTTTATTTGATTTTTTTTGATTTTTTTTTGATTTTTTTTTTGATTTTTTAATTTTTTTTTAAATAGAAAGTTCTCATAAAAAGTTTTATTTTATAAAACTTTATGAAGTCAAAAATCAAAAAAATCAAAATATATTAAAGTTTTATAAAATCAAAAAATTTAGAAGCATCCATCAAACTTTACATTCTAAATTGGCCAAATTTGCAAAGATGGCAGTCTTAATGAATTATGGACCGCTGATCAATTTTTTTGGAACAGGAATATCTTTCATCATTGATAGTGAGAAGAGGCTAAAAAGGCGATTGCAATTTTTATTTAAAACGCTTGAAACTAATAGTTTTTGCGGTTAGAGATTATTACGATTAGTACGATATTCGATACACGAATTTTATCAGCTCCCACCTTATCCCAATTTCTCTTCAGCCCTTTTTCAAGTCCTTCACATATTCATCCGATATTTTTTTATCTTTTACACTTTAAAATTCGGGCGGAACAAAATTGATTAAAGTTCTTAATAAATAAGCATTAGCAGAGCTTACAAATAGAAATGTTTTACACCAAATTTTTCCTTAAAAAAATTTCGATAATTTTTTAATCTTAGAATTTATTTCTTTTTTTTGGAAAATGTAACTTATAGATTGCGAAGAAATCGATGTAAAAAATGCTTTTTTTATTGTGGATAGTTCCACTGAAACCCCGTGTAATCTTTATAAAATATCACGGCAGTTAACTTATTCAATTGGACCTAATAAGTTTAAATTTTTTTGCTGAATTTGCTTTTTTTTAATTTTTTCATTTTGTTTTTCATAGGCTTAGCGCCTAGTTGATTTCAAGTACTTCAATAAATAGAATTTCGTTTTACTATTGGCTAATTTGCCAAGTAACTTATTAGATGATTATCAATGATAATTGACTTCTTTAATGTTCCAGGCTTTTATTATTCAACAACGGGCATATAGTACGGTGTTCATCAATTTTTGATATTAATAGCAATGGCTCATTGGATAACAATTATTTAAATAAATTGGAAAATATTATTTCGCAAGAAGAAATTCAAAAAACATATGTTGTCGAGCAGGTTAAGGATTTTGTATGAATTACTGAATTTTAATTAGTTTATTCAACATCATACCTTTGGCTTGCATTCACTAATGCAATGAGCCCTCTTCAGTCAGAGATTAACTTAAGCGGATAGGAAACTGATTGACTCGAGCAGCACTTCCATGGCAGATTTATTCAGTATAAGTCTAAATGATGCATGATCTCAGTCGAAGCGACTCAATCATTCTACACATATTCACGCAGAATGCGATGCTGTGGTTCCATTCTTCGCAAGAGCAAACCTCCGCAAAAATCCGTGTGATGCTGGCGACTCACCTGTATTTCTATCGCTAACATACTCTCTGACATATTTGGCTATTGCGACAAACCAACGGAACGGCTCTAATCAGTAATAATGAGGACTCTTAAAAAAAATTGCAACATAAAATAAGGATTGTTGTCCGCACGATAATTTATCAAATACTTTTTTTATTTTTGCTTGCACTATTGCTCACAATTTGACTGGTTTCTTTAACGGCTTTAATAAGACACATTTCCAGTCTTGCGATTTGTCCTTGAAATTAGCTGAAGCCAAACCTTTCTCCATTGCCAAGTCTATATAATCCGCTGGACTACCGGCTTTCTTGACCATATCTATTCATCTTTTTCTTTGCGCTTCTAAAAATTTTCTAATAGATAGTTTTAAATAATTTTTTTAAATTAAATGCACTTTGAAACTGTCGACAGATTTTAGATTTGGTTAGAAAGGCCGTCGAAGATCTTCCAATTATTAAATATTTATCGATTCATTCTGTCAAAAGATTGCCTTCTTGTGTGTATTAATGATAGCAACTTTGGTGAAATTCTCTACAATATACAATTAATTCGTAACAATATGGATATGGACCATTTAACAAAATCTAATTCTCATGTGAAGCGGGTTGATGAATTGATTAAATTATTTGATGAATGTATGCGATTAGCATTCGTCAAGCAATATGATGATGGCGATTTTCATTCCTACAACACTACGTTTCTAGGAGACATTTCAAAGACTATAAAGTTGGTTCATGTAAGTTTCTCGCATAACTTTTTTCAGTAATAAATACATCATTTATATAATAATAAAAATAATAAATAATAAAAATAATAACAATAATAAAAATAAAATAAGAAGGAAAAAAATTGAGCTACTCTTTTAATGCCGTTCGATTCGTGGATTTGATGCCACACCGGCTTATCTTATTGTTGGTGCTTATCTTATAACGAGCAATAAGCAGTTAGCTGTTGGCTTCAATTATCAAAATCTCAAATCAAACTGCAAATAAACCAAAAAATATTTAAAATAAATTAAAAAATTTGTAATTTAATAAATTATAATACATTATTAAAAAGGATCAACAACTTTTCTCTAAATGCGAACCTTAACGCTACAATAAATGTTTGGCGCTATTCCACTTGGAATTTCAAAATTATCCTTATTTAGCTTGTTGATAATAATTCATTTAATAATTGGTTTCCTCATCATTAGTAGTAATTGACATTTTTTTCCTTAAGTGCTTGTTAGTCGATAACATCTGTTAACCACTTTATTTGGTTTTTTAAGTCGACTGACTGCTTATATGAGACGGAATCTTTGTTAGGGATAATTGGCATAACAGTATGGACAGATCGTTAAAAGCATGGATTTTCTCTTATACGCAGCAAGCAGAGTCCACATTTCGGCACTAATATGAGCAATATTTACTCGAAATAAAATATTTTCATATTGCAAAATTATCCGATATAAATTTTAAAGAGAACTATAGGCTTCGAATCGTACAAACAAACGAGTTTTCGCAAATTATTATAGCAGTGGATGCCTTCATGTTGCATTATATAATTATTAATTATATTGTCATCGAATATTTTCACGCATCAAAGATAGATTTACTTTGTTTTCAAATATTAAATACCATAACGACCTTATGAGATATTCGCTGTTATTCGCTAATTCGGTAAATTTTAGGATCAGTGGAATAAAATTAAAGGTGAATTGTCGGACAACATGCAATCACGAAATTCGCCTCTTTTATGTAAGACACTGTCGTTTTTAAGCTTATCTTCCGTATGTTCATCTACTTCGACCGTAAATAATGTGGATGTAAAAAAGAATCAACAAAATAAACGAAGACTGGAATCATTGAGAAGAATCCTTCTGAACATTTTCCGAGAAATATGCTTACAATCATTTCATACGACGACGAATCATTTACCAAATTTTATTGACACTCTTCGAGCCAATCTTTTCTTATATCCATTAAAATATCAAATATTGTCATTTGATCAACAACTTTGCCTAATGCGCTCAAAATTCGATCCGTTCACGCTTGGATTCGATATATTAGCATATATCGTTGTAGATATTACAAGAAATTTGCGATTGGAATATAAAAATGGTAATTAGCGAAATAAATACTTATAATATTTGAAAAAAAAAGAAAATTTCAGAAGATATAAAAATAACGGAGGAATTGGAAAATTTCCTTCAATCGATGGATTATTCGAAGCATACAATGTCATTTATCGAGGCTGGCGATGGCACAGATTATTTAGCATTTCAGGTCATTTAATATGATTACTACTGGTTTTTATCATCACTACTATTATTCATAAATATTTATTAGGAATTATTCTAACTTCAAACTTATGAGGGAATTCATTTGCTAAATTTTGTTTTTCGCACCCAAGGACAAGTACCATATCCTATTTCCATATTTTGTTACTGGTCTCGTCAATAACAAGATTAATCATTCGAAAATGGATTAAAGCATAGTTTTTCGTTCAATTTACAAACCTTCATTCAAACCTCAAGTTTCGAAATGAACCCCATCCGACTTAGTGGGATATCTTTCAATTTTCGTCCTCCTTTTCTTTATCTTTTAACAAAAACATTTTAACAAAATCAAATATAAAGGTTGGCATTTTAAGTTATTTTGAGCTTAATTCGAGCTTAATTCATATTAAATTTAAATTTATAAGGCAAATATGATATTATTCAGGTGACAAGTCAAATCAGATATGCGTCTCACTCAAAATTAACATCATTAACTAATAGATTTCTTAATAAAAGTGACAGTAAATGCGGAAAACTTAAATGCGTAGCTTTATTTGAAAAAAATATTAATAAAGAGCTTGCGATAAGCCAAATGCTAAAATTTAATTTCGTTGTAAATGCGATTTTTGATGAATTTTTACTGAAATTTTATTCATGCAAAAAAAAATCGAATCTTTCATTTTTGATACAATAAAATATTTTTGCCATTTTTGTTCAATTTTCTTATTAATTTCATTTTGTTTTTTATTTTATTATTTGCTTGCAAATTTTATTTATGCAATTTCATAACCATCGCTCTAATCCTTAGATTCACAACAATTGGCTCATTGCTAATTGACATTTTTCAAAGTATCGACTTCGATTTCATTTTCAGCATGCAGAGAGTTTAAATATTCTAAGTAACTTTGTCCATGATAGATTTTAAGAGTTTTTTCGATTAGAACTGATAGCAGAAAAAACATTTTGGAGATGAAGCGAGGTTTGAAATGGAACTTAAAGGGAATTTTATGAAATCTAAAAGGACATCAAGTCAGTAAACTTTAGAGAAAGAATAACGAGCACTACGGACAGAACATATTCAAACTCGGATTAAGCAATCTGTAGAGGAAATAGATGAATTCGCGCGCTCTATTGTTTCATAAATTATAAAACCGTTTTATTCGTTTCCATTTACGTTTTACTTTTTAGTGATATATTTTTTTTTATAAAAATAAATATTATAAAAGAAGCGAAATTCTGTGAAGGATACGAAGAATACGATAATACGAAAATTTCGTGAAAATAATTCAACATTAGTATAAGCTTGAAAATTTATCGAAGTGTTAAATTCAAAAAACTCCTTTATTATTAAAGAATAAAAATTTCTAACAATAAGCGCGCTAGCATAATTCCGAAAATGGTTACTGCTAAACATTTAATTACTTTTACAATAATATTAATAATTTTACAATAACATTATCAACATTAATAATTTTAGCAGTTTTTTGGTTAATAACAATTATTATTAACTTTTTAAATAAATAATAAATTAAATTAAGAATTTGTAAATAAATACTTATACTAATACTAAATATTAAATACTAATATTTAATACTAATAATAATACATAAAAATCTTTGAAAAAATATTTTAAACTGGAACTTTATAAGTTTATAAAAATTAATTTTTATTTCTTGTTTTTTTAAGTTTTTTCATTTTTTATAATTTTTATATTTCTTTTGCTGATTTTTAATAAACCATTCGTTATAAACTTAAACGCAAGTTTTTAACTTTTCAGACAAAGCAGAGCATTGATTTCTAAAAATTTTATTATCGTTTAGGTAACAAAATAAGTGAGGAAATGGACGCTCTCTATTCACCAAATTTTTCTATTACAAAACAACCGAAAAAATCAACATTGTCATATAAATAAAATTAAAATTTCCTAAATCGAGAATGAAAGGAACTATTTAAATGCAAATGAAAATTCTTTTTATGGACAAATTTCATAATTAAAATTGTTTAATTAGAAATTCACATAAATATCAAGGAATTCACATTTAACAAAAAAATTTGTTAAAACAACAAAAAACTCCAAATATAAGATATATAAAACCATAATATTCGGTGATATAAATCCTCTTCTTATCATTCATATTTATTTATAATTTTAAGTTTAGATTAGATTAATAATAAAATTAATTTTAAATTAAAAAATAAAATTAATAAAAAAATTTAGATTAGCAGCTAAAATAATAATATTAATAAAAATAGCAGTTCGTGGTTTGTTTCCTTGGAATAAAATCTATATGAATAAATTTCTTTAATATATGAAAATATATAATATATCTTTAATATATAAGTTATAAAAAGAAAAATTTGTATATATATTCAAATCTCAATCAATAGCTTTGAAATAAAACCAAGAATTGTTATTGCTACTCTTATCAGTGCAAGTGAATTGCCATTCAACTTTAATATAACTTTTAGTATGATATAACTGCCATAATCTCTTATATATATCCTACAAGTATATGAAATAAAGCAACCATATCCTGAAAATATCCTGTATCGTTTCTCCAGCACTCAAAATATCCTTGCTCTTTTAGCATTTTTATTTCTCATCTGCTTATTATCGGAAATATTTTGCTGGCAATCAGCAAAAAAATCAGAATTATCACTTTCAAATAAAGTCGACAAACGAGAATTAGAAAATGAATTTGAAATAGACGATGACGACTGATTATCACAACCAAAATCTGCATGAGATGCTGTATCGACACGAAAATTCTTTGATTGATCAGAATCGATAAGTTCTAACTGATTGATTCGTTTCTCAACTTCTTCATAAGGTAATGAAGAATTGCGATTAAGAGGCTGTCGAATAAAAGTTGAGAAGGTGCATACTGATTCGATGTTGATGGCTGGTTCATCACTGCAGCCATTTGACCAGAATTTATAAAATTAGTTGTCACTGGTGTATCTGTATGAAATGGTGGGCAATCAACAAACAATAAGCGGCGAATTCGGCGCATCAAATCAATTGCTCGTAAAATGATTGAAATAGCAACGTTCCGTTAAATTTGCTGCACCTTCACCTTCAGCTGCGCAAATCGGGTGAGTTGAAGCCGATTGATAACTTTTTGATGGCAAAAGTTGCGAATTCTGAATCGAGTTATCTAATAAAAATTTTTCAGACCGAACTTGGTTTTTTCGTTCAATTTCATATAACTGAAAATTTTTTAGAAATTTAAAAAAATCTTATTGTTCATTATTCATAATTTGTAGTAAATTTCATAGTCTAAGACAAGGCCAGGCAAAAAGAGTCCAAATTTCTCGATTTAAATTTATTAAATTCACAAAAATTAAGCAAAACTCGGAAGAAACGTACAGCCAATTTTGTTTGCAAGTTCGCTATAATTTGTGTATATTTTTCTTCTTTCATTTTTCTAAGTCTTCCTTCTTCCTTAATTTCGTGTTTTAACCGTTTAATCTCTTCTATCATATTTCTTTCGATCGCCATGCTGAGAATTCGTTCCGATTTTAATCTCTTTATGAATTCCTTTAATTTTTTCAATTTATCAAATTTATAGTTATTTTTAAACGTAAAATCCAATCTTCAATATATACCATAATATAGTGCAATAATGTTATAATAATAAATTTTGGAATTTTGCGCCACATGTATGAGGCAAGAAACTATTTTCAATTCTTCTATTATACTGACAGAAGTGATTTGCAGTCACAATGGTAGAAAAAAAGTCAATTAAGGTTGCAGAAAAATAAGAAATAGGATTATCAGATGCAAAATTATTGCCGCATTATTAAGAATATGATTTCAAATTTGCTTACCTTGAGACGGAAGCTTTTTTTATCATTAGGCAAGCATGAGCCAAAATCTGAACTATCTAAATTATAAGTTAAATTATAAGTGATTATTTGGTGCTGGATTATCACTGCCACATGCAAACCAATGATTTTCTTTAGATACACAATTATAATTCTGAATTAAAATTTTGAACCCAGCACAAAAAACCACCGATTTTTTTAGTTTTTATTATTTTAATCAATCATGTAAAGATTTGATTTTAGTTTGTTTGACTAAGTTTCGTAAATTTGGTGAGATTTCATTATTTCTCGTTAAGACTCTGGTATTTTAGTTTCGCATTTTTTATTACCAATTGCCGATATATGAGAATTCTTATTTCTATTAATCCTAATTTCTATTAATTTGAATGAACATGAACTAAAGTACCAAAAACAATATTATCAATATAAGAAAACTTATTAAAAACGACAACACCTGTACCTTTGGTCGGATAAAAATCCGACGTAATAGATCTGTTATCATAATTTAGGCGACAGAAATCTCGTGAAAATCTACGAAGGCAGGAGGCATTACCTGTTCGCGGAATTTTAACATAATAATATGGATCTGTTATCGAAGTGGCTCGAAAATTATCCCCTTGGTTGCCTTTGCTTCTTTGCGGAGATTCTTGATTGCTTCTATTTTTAGACTGAAAATGGAATTTCTTGAAATATAAAAAATATAAAATAATGACAATTTAACTGACTGATATAGTGTATTAATGAACGTGTTTATTTGATTTATTTTATTTCTAAAAGCTTTTAAAACACCACAAAACAATAATAATTATAACAGTCATTGATAAAAATCTTTTTTAAAGTTGTATCATTTGATAAAATTTCAGATTGCTCAGATTGAGCCAAAAATTTAAAAAATAAAAATAAAATGAGGAAGAGAACATTTCATAGTCATTTTTCGAATGTGCTTAATTATATTCCTTAAAAATTCATCGTTTCTTCTCTTCCAGTGTCATCACATCGTTTCTTGTTTGCTGGATCTACTCGCTACAAGGATGAAGATTTGAAATGGAACTGAACACCAGTTGGTCCTCACTCTAATAGTTGTTCATTTAGAGCGAAATTGATATTTTAGCAAGGTGTTGAAGTAACGTACTTTATTTTAATGCTAAGATTTCGTGAAATCTTTGGCAAAAAAAATTTTATTTCTTCCCAACTCCTCTTAACATTCCATCCCTCCTAAGTCCAACTGTTCTTAAAGAAAATACTCAATAATACTCTTTCACTCAATAACCTTGAAGGTACCATTTTAAAAGCCGCCTTATCTTCCCGGCATGTCCCTGGACTTGCTATATTGCATTATAACTCGCCATATTCTTGCTTAGTTTCCTTAATAATGTTTCATCTAACCTCTTTTGCATTAAATTTTCTTATTTAACCGCTCTGAAACCATTCTTTCCTCAAACACAATTGCTGTCCAACATCCCTTAAATCCTTTAATCTTCTTTAATACTCTGTTAAACCTCATTTTGCTTTTTTTAAGGATTGAGTGATACTTCTTAAGGTCCATTATAATGTATATATTTCACTCCGAAAAAGTGGTTTTTGAGAAAATAACAAACGATTCATAGTGAAATTTACAAAAAATTCTGCCAATTCTGTAGAATAAATATATAATTCCAAAGTCTTCTTTTTGTGTCAATCTTTTTTAAAGTAAAATGGCAAAATTTTGAGTAAAAAATATTAAAAATATTAGAAAGGTACGAATATGAACGATTTAAAGAAAACTTTCATCAGTCCTGCTAATTTAAATAAAATAAAAAAGTTATTATTTCATAAAATCACCGTGAAAGAATATAACCTCTTGTGAAACTTTTTCTTTTTTTGATTTAAAAAAATTCTTAAATATCGCTGCCATCACTATTTTCTTACGAAAATAATCGTAAATTATTAGGTGAGTAAGGCCAATCCGAAGTTTTTTCGGAGGTAATTCCAAAAATGAATATTTCTTCCTGGAAAGATTTCTATTAAACGAATATCAAAAAGATTACGAGGAATGGTCGATAATGAGAATTTTTTTATTGACTAACACGAAATATCTTCGGCATATGGAAGACATTTGAGCCATAAAAATATTCTCATAAAAAATTATTCAAAAACTAAGTAAAGGGCTGAAATGCAACAAAAAACTAACTGCTTAACTAATGAAAACCAACCGAATAACTTTTAAAAAATAGAAAATAATAAAATTACATATAAATTATTTAAATTTTTTCCTCGCAAATTATTTTTTATGATAAAAACATTTTAATAAATTTATGAAAATTTTGTGCCAATATTAAATATTTCACTGTAATTGTTTTAATTAAGGAACAAAACTTAAAAATTCTTGGCAAATTCCCAGCTCTATTTCTTTTGTAGAAGGGGATTTCCGGAGGCCAAAGATTATTTTCAACGAGAACCGACATATTATATATATTATAACGAACTTCTTGTCGAATTTTTTAAATTTCAATATTTCAATTATTTAAAGAAATTTTATGAAAGATAATTCTTCAGCTCCCCGCATTCATGTGGAAAATCGAAATATTCGCGTAAATCAAATAACAAATATATGAATAACAACAAATTATAACAAATACAAATATAACAAATTAAAAAATAACAAATCTGCTATAAAACAATTAAAATAAATCAATTCCAATAAATCTCCCATAATATTTCATATCGTCACATAAAAGTGAAATAAAATAATTTAATAAATGCATAAGCAGCCACTTATTTGTATAGCAATAAGGATTTGCCTCAAGGCTGTTTTCCCTTTAAATTGGGAAAAATTATTATCTGTTTTTATCACAATATTTTTTAGAATATCGATTAACTGACTATGACGAAGTGTTGCTTAATTCCATTTCCTAGGAGCAACTTTAAGTGACGATTAACTCATTTGGACATAATTGAACGTTTTAAATGATTATTTTGATAATTTTTTCACGCTTTTTGTGAATTATTCTCGTGAATTATTTTTTGAGCTAAAAAATTTGCTTTTATTAATTTATTGGAATTTTAAAAAAATTTTTATCCGTTTTATGTTGTTATTAGAACATTAAAAAACGAGTCTTGAAATAAGTAAAAAGCTGAAAATTTTAATCAGTGAGATTGCAAAATTCAGTTATTATAATTTAAAGCACAATAAATAGAAAATACGGAAAATATCTTTAAAATTATTTAAAATTATTTGCCTAAAGCCATCGATGGCTTATACACTCACAACTTTGTTCCATTGACTTGGTATGGAGAGAATTTTTCACTAGAAAATTAAAGTATCGATAAGTCCCCTTCATCATTTTTAAATGACTTGCATTCGTCGAAAGCAGAATCTTGACGTTGGGACGACAATTTAAACGATGGTTTGAAGGTGCATTTCTTTCCTTCTTTTTCCATGACGAATGCAAAAACTTAAGGTTTTTTAGAGTTTACAAGGAATTTATTAAGTTTTAAACGACAAAATACCAATTTTTATATTAGTTGATCATATTATATTCTATTTCACCACAGTTCTTATTTTTTTTACTTATTCAGTTTTATCGAGTATTGAGATGAATTTTGTGGGCAAAATAAATATAATACAAGGCGAATAATAATATAGAATACTCTTAGACGCATAATTTTCATTAAATTTTAAATCCTATTAGCATAAACAAATATTAATATAAAGAATATACGAAAAAAATAATAAAAATATCATAGAGAACGGCCTAATTGACAAAATATCGGATGAATTTTTTGATAAATGTGCAGGTCGTGTTTCCCATTCATTATTCAGCAAGTTTTCAACATTGGACCAAGTACCATTATGTTTATGAGGTGGTTCAATTGCAAGAATATTTAGCATGAGCTGCAAATTCATAAATCTATTATATATCGATATTTTTAGAAAAAGTAATCAATTAACTTCACAATATCATCACAATATTTAAAAATGAATTTGCAGCTTTAAAAATGAAAATTGAAAACAAAGCAGATTTTTAGAATTTTTTTTGAATATTTTTTTTTCTAAAGGTGATTATTATTTCTGGTAAGTCCTGCCTATTTGCCTATTTTATGGGCCAGAAAAGTTTTGCCAAGGAAAAATTTGGTGACATAGAACTATCCAGCACCACTGGGGATAGAATTGCTCAATGGGTTATTGCTCAGTTTGGAGCGCCGATACTAAAGTTCGATTTCCCGCAGGAGCAAACCTGTAACCTGTACAAAAATCCGAGTGATGCTGGCGGCCCACCTCTATTTCCATCGCTAAGGGACTCCCTGGCATATTGCCCAATGCGACGAACCAGTGGAGCGAGTTTAACCAGTAATGGTGAGGATTTTAAAAAAAAAACCAGCACTATCGGGAAGATAGGTTTTTCCTGCAGACAATCTCAGAATCTATGCTCGAAAATAAAAATAACAAACCACGTTAACCACTGTGAATTTTAATTGAATAATTGAATTAACAACTAATAAGTGAAAAAATGATTTCGGGCTTTCGAGAATTCAGAAGCCATTTGGATTTGATTACAGATTACCTGATATATATCAACCACTTCGATGGGTGCTGCCTGATGATTGATTTTAAATGCTGCAAAAATTTTTCAAATAAATACTATTTTTCTCGCATGAAGAAAGAAAACGAGCCAGACTATCCATCCGCTGAACAACTGATTAGTGGTAAAGTTTAAAGGAATTTAATTCGAAATTTAACTGCATCTTACAGGTATTCTTTGGCGCATTCTTTTTAAAAAAAATAGAGAGTTCTTGATATTGAACTGATGAAACGATTGATAAAAATTGAGCAAATTGATTCAAAATAAAAGAAATTTCTAAGAAAAAGGAATAGTAAAAATTTTTTAACCATTTGGCCTATAATTCTATAATTTTTATTTTATAAATTTTATAAATTTTAAATTTCCGATTTTCAATTTTGCAATATTATTTCGTAATCCGTTATATATTTCGATAAAAACTGGAGGAAATGGACAATCAGGCTGATTGAAAAGTCTGAACTAAGCCTAATTAGAAGCAACTGGTTTGAAACATTACCTGGTCCTCTAGCCATAAATATTCCATGCATTCCATCAAAGCGATTATCATAGCCTCCGATTTCTTTAACATCTCTATCATGTTCATCATGCATTGGAATCGAGGGTATTCGTTTCTAAATAAAATTAGCTAATTCTTGCTAAAATTTTTCGCTAATAATGCAATTTTTAGAAAAACAATTATTTCATTCTGAACCCTTATCCCCTTAACCCCTGATATTGTAGCTCCACGCTTGGTAATTAGTACAATACTTGACATGAATCTCGAGTTTTTGCAATAAAATTCTTTGGAAATTTCATGTGAATTTATTTGCAAATATACTTGGCATTTCTTTATGCATCTGGTAAACATTGCATATGTTTAATAAAACTGTGAACAATTCCGTTATTTTGCTATTAGCGCTTAGTCTTATTTTAGTCGAATTTATTGGTTTCTAATGAATTTCGATTATCTAAGATTACAATAAAAGAATAAAGGTGGTTAAGGTACCACTATTATAACTTACAACCACGAATGGCACAGAAAATAATATTCACAGTTAATATTGTAGCTCCAGGCTTGGCAATTAGTACAATACTTGGCATGAATCTCGAGTTTTTCCAGTAAAATTCGGTTGGAAGCTCATCTGTTCTGTAAATTGTCACCATTGGAGTGCTATCCTCTTCATTGTCATAATCTGCTTGTGGTGCAAACTGATCACAAACTTGTAAATCGTAAAACACCTATAGAATATATTTATCAATTATCTGTTCAAATAAGGAAAATGTGAAAAGCTATGAAAATTATCAGAGATATTCCCTTTACTTTATATTTCTTCTAAGCGGAAATAATACCACTGACCGATCCACTGTCAGTATTTCATCCCATAACCACTGTTATTTTTCTATTCTTTTGCTAATTTTTTGAAAGTTTTATTTTTGCCGAAAACTTTTTGCATACAACAATTTTACTTAATATTTAAATTATAATAGAAATATTAAATAAATTATTTTTTAATTTTTTGTTGTATCTGGTGAATAATTTTTAAAATATTCTTCAGACGGATAGTTTAAATTTAATAAAAAATGTCAAAAAAAATTTTTACTTCATCAGCATAACTTGTAAAAAGCATCATCATTGCGTGCCTATTGACAACTAATTCGACTTTTGATAAATCTTCGAAGCACTCATCGATGAAATATTGGACCTCATTATTGACGGTATACATGCCATGATTTGACAGAACCATAAGGTTTGTTGATTCGAAAAGATTCATTTGTGCTAAATTTCTCTGCAACGAGATGAACGATCATCAATGTCTAAATCTCAGTTCCAAGCAACATTTTTTTTTACATTACAACAATTCTATTGCATTCGAACCGAAAAGGATAGCACATACAAAGATGAATTTTCCTCAAACCTGGATAAGTTTTATAAGATTTTTCGAAGTAAGACCTGAAGGTCAAGAATATGAAGATCAACTATTCTTAATGCTTCGATAATTTCACGGCTACCTCCACCAAATGTTCTCAATGCATTTTCAATACCACCATATCGTAATAAAACGAACTAAAAGTGAAAATAATCAAGTGATAAATAAATTCCACATTGAAATAATTGGCAACTCGCTAAAATAAACCTGTTGCCGGTACATTTGGTATTTAGAGATCCATTCGATGATTGATGGAAAATAGGTCGATACTGATTCACTTTGATCAATATCCGAGAAATTTAATTTTCTTTCATTCGGAACTTTAACAATTAAATCCATGTATGGCAACTGAATGATTTTTATATTATAATTTCAAAATTTTCATATTCTGATCTTTTATATTTCACGATTTTTATCGATTAAAAAACAAAGTACCATAGGATTCCATGTATTAACGCAAAAAATGTTGATAAAAACTAATACTTTCGGGAAATTCTTCAGATTCTTCAGCAAAAATGCCTCGATATTGTTATTATAAGATCAGAAATGACTCAATTGGCTCAAAAAAGACCCAAGTAAACTTATCGTGGTCAAATTTCATGCTAGCTCTTAATTATAATTTCACGACAAGACATCTCTAAAAAATGTATATATCAAATCAAAAAAGCTCACATCACACCACGGGATCCAGTAGCAGTGAACATCGATATTTGATTTTCCAATAGTATACCAAACTGGAGCAATCTCTTGTTGCCACCACTCGCTTATCGTATCATTCTCGCCTCTGCCCTTCATGAAAGCTATTTGCTTTGTTTCATCCCACATATAATCAGCCGTAAATCCATGATTCTCTGCATATAAACCTAAATTTTTTCAATAAATGTGTTGAAATCATAAAAATACAACCCATCGAGTAATCATTTTTTTGCCTTGGTTTGATAAAAAAACTGGCATTTTACGAACTATGAAAGAACTATGTTTTTTGTAGTTAAAATTATATTGAAATATTAATGAATGAAGAACAACCGGTGAATATACTTATCCAGTTCGGATATGACAGAGTTGGATAAACAGGTTTTAGATAATCTGTCGTAGAGCCATAAATAGACATTTCGTTGAATCCAGTAAGTTCATCAGCATATTTTGCAAGTAATTTATTCGATAGGCCATCAATCATAAAGACTATTAAATTTTGACCATATGCCAATTGATTCAGTGCAACGCAGCGGCACGAAAAAATATAAGAAATTAAAAAAAATAACATCATCCCCCTACAATTAAATATTTATTTGCATACAATGGAAGTATAAGCCCACGTCTCGCGCTGTCACCACGTTTCTTTTATTTGCGCGAAATTGCCTTTTCAAAGAAATTAATCGAGTGTAGGCTCTGGCAGAAATTTGCATAACGAAAATCTTTGAGAATCTTTAAATGAATATAAAGAAAATCGTTACAAATATTGCAACAAATAGTGTGAATAGCATTGTTACATAAGAATGGTAAAAACTAGCAAATGCTATGGATTTAGAATAAATAACAGCGGCTAATAAATTTATGTAAACAATGATGATAAGATAAGATTAGATTATCTCTTAATAATCAAAAGAAATATTTGATTATAATTAAAAAGAGTTTTAATAGAGCAACTGATATCTATTTCTTCTCAGTTAATTAAGACAGAATGAAAGTAATGCAATACTTGTTCAGAAGGGATTTTAAAATTATTTAAAATTCTTCCCTTTGCAATTCGTTACAAAAAATATACTATCGATTATTAATTATAGTAAGATTATTAAGTATAAATAAATTTAACATTTCTTTATAAGAAAAAAAAAAACAAAAAGAACAAAACAAAATCTTATCAAGTCCGAACATTGTTCGAAATTTTTTTAGCCAACAATAAATAACAAACAAAGTTGTCAGAAAAATAATTTCTTAGCCAAATTTCTTCTGATTTTTCTTTATATTAAAAAGTGTTAAAGAAATTTTTAGAATTCTATTTATTATGGAAGTTATTCAAATGAATTTCACGCCAAATATTTTAGCATTTAACCGAACCGAAGTCTTAACATATTAATATCAGCGAACATAGGTGGGATAACTAGGATGTGACTTTTTCGATTTGGTATTGTACTTTTCAAATTCGGCAGTAAAAGAATTTTCATTTTATTGGGATAAAATTAGTGTTTGACCGGCTAAAAATACTTATGGCTTAGAATAAATTTTAGAGGGATTTAAGAGGAAAATTTTTTGAAAAATTACCGAGAAAATAACTTAGATCAAAAAGTTTTGTAAAGATGTAATTTAATGAGGCAACTTTAAATAATTTTTAAATAATATGAAAAACAACTGTTCGGACAAAAAATGAAAGAAAATTTCCGAAGAAAAATAGTTATAAAAAGTTAAAAAATTTCTTAAAAAATTAAAAATAAGGAGATTTAATAGAAATTAACTATGAAAGAAATAAAAACGACAAAATTTATGCTAACTCGATCAAATTGAAATAAATTTTAGTTTAAAAAATTGCCAACTGACAGCTTTTCCTTTGAATTATCCCTTTTAAATATTTGAATTTTTAAAACTTAAATAAAATTGGTTTAAATATTTTTCCATTAATTTCAACTGTCGATTATCGACCATCAAACCTAAATGAACAAAGCGCTTAGAAAATTTACTGTGCATTTTGATCAGCGTATTTTAAAGTTTCTGCGATTCAGATGCTTTAAATCAATTTATCAATTTCTTATTTTATATTCTTATATTTCTCAATTCTCCGAACGCAGTGGAAAATTGGCAAACGCTTTGGATCTTTGCATGAAGTACGATATGGCGAAACAGAGATATGAGTTCCATTAGCACTAAGAGTTTCATTTGAGGGCAATTTTCTCTTTGATAGGATCAAAACATCAGCTAAAATGAAATCTTTGCAGCACCTTCTTTTATTCACAAATTTAGCCAAAAGATGAGCAGAGGAGTGGGAAACAAAAAAGCGAGCCAAATTGAAATTTAGATGTTTCATCCAAAAATGAAAATGAGTTAGCTTCGATTAATAGGTTTAACTTCTTTTGTAGAAAAAGTTAATGCACTGAAATTTGATAAACGTAAATATGGCACTAAGCCATTGTTAAAGGTATAAAAGCGCAGAGTTTATTGATATGATAAATTTTTTAGTTGCAAGAAAAATCGCGTTGATCCAGGATAGAAATGATTAAAATTAGCCATTTATTCATCTCATTTATTATCATTGGGGAGTTCTGGATAAAGTTCCATTCAGCGTGGGGTATATGGATTGTCAGCAAAAAAACTCGATTCCTTTATTTATTATTTTCTGTATTTTTTTTCGTTAGATCTCCTATAAAACCTTAGTGCTGCCATATTACCGCGTCGTTCACGCCATTCTTAACTGAAAATGGATGCAAATATTATTCAGTTACTACAAATGAAATGAGCAATATTGAGCATATTTAATTGAAAATAAAACGACATTTGTTTCCTGGCACAATATTTATTTACGATTTGATGACAGATAATGGAAGTATTTTAAAAGGAATATAATTAATCATAGTCGCCAAATTGGTCGTAACAATTCCTTTATATATTCAGCTTCTTTATTCAAATTTTTTTAGCTTCACAAATCGTCCTATGAAAATTACTTTCAATGATTTCAAATGAAAATCATTCGAATGAAATGGTTCATTTTTTAATATTTTTAATATAAAATATAAAAATACAGTTTTTCTCAAATAGGCTTTTCTTTTATTTATGAATATTAGTGTTGTAATTGTAAAAAACCTTTGTTAAGTAAATATGCAAACTATACTAATATATTAATATATTTTTTTCGGTAATTTCCGCAATAATTTCGTTGAACAACTTTTCATTAGTTCTATTATCATTTTATCTATTATCATCAGCAGGAAAAAGTAAATTCGATTCGTCGATGAGAAGATAGTTGGTAGTTAGCAATATCTTATGATATCTTAGAATCTTCAGCGTTATACTGTACCACTGTAAATTTCACGAAAAAATTTCCATTCAAATTTTATATTCCATTTTAAATGTTACTTTAGAAAAACAAATCGAGATAAAGTTGCTTTTCAGAGCTGCAATCAGGAAGGAAAAGTCAGTGATTTTGCTATAATTTTGAAAAAGGAAAGCGAATGCTTTTGTCCAGGCGAGAATATAATTGGTCATATCGAAATTAAGATGGTGCCAAAAATTGAAATATATCAGCTGCATTATTTGATCATTGGAACAGGCAATTTTAATAATTCACTGAAGGTTTTATTTTTTTTTTCTTCTGAATTTTTATATTCTTATTTTCTTATTTTCGGTTTATCTCTTAAAATAGTTTTGTGATATTGAATCGAAGAAAATTTTGGTATTTTAAATAAAGAGATTTTTTTAAATAAAGAAAGGAAAAACTCTCGATGATGTGTTATATCTAAAAAAGGAGAATGCAATTATTTCATCACCAACGTGCTTGGACACCAAAAATACTGCATTTCCTTTCCACGTTTGTTTCTCGAATCTTTACATTTCTAACAGAAAGTCTAGTTAGTTTTTTTTTAATTGGTCTTTGGATCGGCGAAAATTTTAAATATAAAATTTTTAAAAGGCTGAAAACAAGATATTTAATACAAACTAAGGTTAAGCAACAACAGATGTGAAACAGGCGAAATCATTAAAATACTAAGGATTAAGGAAATTCTGTGAAAGTCTGGAAAAATGCGCAAAAACCTTCGGTGAAAATCTTTGCTGTTTCTTTAAAATGCTCGCAATCTAGCTGCCACACAGAAATTTTATTCAACTGTAGTTGTAATAACTTGTTGCCCATACTGTAACAAAATATTTAATAACATCACAGCCTCAAAATTAGGATACTTCGAAAGGCGAAAATAAGGTTGCGCCATAGCACGATAATACAATCATAATACGATTATCAAGGATCTTTATTTCATCAGTAATTGTAGAACAGTAAAATTTTCCCAATTGACCTCATTGCTCCTTTCTTTCCAGCTTTCACCATGCTACTGCTCGTTCTTTTGTTCTTTTTTATACTAATATAATTTTTAAAATACTTTTATGACTTTAACATTATATCAAAGAAAATACTAAAATACTAAAATATTTGCATAGAATTCGTCGATTTAAGTTTATATGACAGTGTATTCCATTATAACTGTAGAATTCGTGTAGAATTCAAGAATAAATTTTACTGGTTTAAAAAGATAATTTTTTGGGTCGTAATAGGGTCCTATCTTTGATGATGACGCTATCTTGAGAACTACTTGACAGACTGATTTATTAAATTTAAGATAAAAAATTTGTTGAAGTTATTTGAAATTCGAAACTTAGAAATACAATTTAATCCAAAAATATAAGGCAATGAGAGGAAATATTGAAAAGATCCTTCGACAATGAGAACGGTTGACAAGGAACTAAATTAAAAAATTATGTATGTCTGAAAAGAGAGACGAAAATATAGTTCTACATTTCATGCTGAGAAGAAACTACCGTATAAGGCAGCTAAAAGACTCACAAAATAAAAATTACGCATAGTTGACTGAAGAATGTCTTAAAGGAATGTTTTGAGGAAGGAGAGGCTAAATTAACCGGAATTACAGAAGAAATGAAATGAAATAAAAATGACATTAATAATCTTAATTATGTAATCATCGAGTTTTGGCATAATTTCTATTTTGGCCAGATTACCCTATTCTGAAGCTATAATGACAACTATTTTAATTATTTTATTATTCGTAACTATTCGTCGTGATAATGATAAATGATAATGATAAATATCAACAACAGAATAGAAGCCCAGCAAGGCAGAATTTAAAACTTTTTTATATTAATGACTGATCATTAAATTTATCAGTTATTAATAAATTTATTTTTATAAATAAATTTGATCTTATAAAGAATGCGAAGCAAAAGATCATTAAGGAGAATATGAGAATAATATCCACAAATTGTATGATCACAGGAAGAATTACCATGTTGGTTACCAACATCGATAGAAACAAGAAGATTCAGTGTAAGATATCTTATCAAGGCATCACTTGTGTATCAATCTGTGAATAAAGATGGTTATTTTTCTTAATATTTTTAAAAGGTTCAGCACTTGGGTCATCGAAAAAAGAATAGAGGTCCTCCTTGGTTATAAATTATTTTATTCTTTTTAAATAATGAAATTTGATTAGAGGCGTCGTAGTAAATTGTTATTTTAGTGAGTTTTAAAAATTATTGTGAAGAATTCATTTTAGAAGGTGAAACGAGTCAGGGAAAGTTAGTAGCACTCCGTGGCTTTACAATTATTGAATCTCTCGATCTCAATCTTCTTTCTTCGGCTTTTTTCAAGTCACAAGCTATTCAGAATGTTAAAAAATTTGGTTTCTTTTCTTGTACTGGTGGTCACGTCAAACTGGTTATATCTATTCCTCGAACAGCCTTTGTCTGCGGGGAATACATTCATTTCGAAGGTAAATCCCAGTTAAATATTGTCATCAATCATTTTGGAATAAATTTATGCTAAAAATTAAGTTATTCTACTAAAGTTTTATTTTCATGCACTTTTCAAATTGTGGAACCTCAAGTCGACCAAATTTCATTAATAAAATTTCAGGGAGAATTTAGAACTTAAACATATCGGTTTGCAGGACAATATACAAAAATAAAAAATAAATTACGAAAAAAATAAAAATAAAAATATATATGAATTTCTAAAACCTTCTTTGATCTTATTTCATATTAAATTTTTAATTTATATTTTACCTATATTATGGAAATTTAGTAGTAAAACTAATTCAAAATTATAAAAATTTCAGGTCGGATAGAAAATAAATCAGATCATCGCGTTGAAAAAGTGGCTGTTATTCTCGAAAAAAATTTAGTTTATCAGCATTTAGAAGAAGTAAATATTTCATTATTTAGTCTTCGCTTTTATCAAAAAACTTTACCAAAATGAGAAAGTTTTGCCAACTATTCAGGATTTAAATCTTTTTTTTAGGTTATATAATTCTTATAGGACTTTTAATGATAGGACTGCATCTGCCAGTAGTAAGGCTCAGACAACGATATTTGAAAAATAATATAGGCGATACTCATTCAGTCGTAGCGCTTCAGAAAATTGTATATATCAAAGATCAACCTTCGTTTCAATTTGAATATTTCTTATTCATTGAACTCATTTTTTTATTATTATTTCAACTTCAAAAGAATTTGATTTATTAATGGTTTAATTAGCTGATTTTTTTTCAGTGAAACCATTCTGAATTTTTGGCAATTTTAGGAAAATCTTGTTGATACACTCGAAATCACAGAGGAAAATTTGGCCTTATATGTTGACGATGGAGCTACGATAAGGATTGATAAATATTTCTCTATACCGTCTCTACCCCCATCGTATTGTTTAAAATTTTTAAATCTGCTTTCGTTTTATTTTTATTATACTTTTATTTCCATGTTATTTTTATATTTTATTTTATTGTTACGCAAAGATATTCCTGCTAATATTGGTTATATCATTTATGCAAAACTACAGATCACTTCTAAAAATAGAAATTGAATAAAAATAGAAACTAACAAAAACTCAAAATTGAAGTCCAAAAAACAAACAGCAGTTGTTAATTCTAGTAAAAAATATTTAGTACTGCAACAGAGGATTTGATTGACAGCAAAAATAACAACAAGCTATTTGTACAAACTGCAGCAAATATAACTCCAATAGGTCCTCGTGGAAGTATATTTTCAATTAATAGTGTTACGCACGCCAATAATGTTAAAAAGATGAAACAAAATTCAGTTGTGCACCAAAAAAAACGAATCGTAATTATATCTTATTCATTACTGATAGTTGTAAAGACGAGCGGTGAGTTCCAATTATCTGTTTTTATTTTTTAAGAATATTTTCTAAATATATTGTAAAACAATTTACAAAATTAGATAAGAATTTCATTATTTTATAAGTGAAACAAATATATATTTTTCCTTGTTTTCTATTTCAGGCGTTGATATAATTCGAGAACGAATACCAATCGTTATAGGTTCAATTCCAAGCTGTTCCATTTTCGAAAGTGAAGATTTGATTCGTCTAAGCGAAGATAACATGAAAACTAACCGAAAATATTCGATGAATCCTATATATCGATGCAAACCTCTTGAAAAGCCAATAAAATTACAAAAACAAGACGAATTTCAAATTTGCAATGAGGCGCAAGTAATTTTAGGCATTTTTAATTTAGCACAAATTTTCTATGGCATGAATTCGGGTTCATTTTGTTACCACATTACATAAAGATTCTAAAGATATTGCTTAAGATGAGAATAACTCGCAAATGAGTAAGTTGCATACAAATGGTTGCCAAGTTATTTCACTCTTAATGGAAGATTTATTTCTGTTAGGGAAAATTTAGCAGATGATGTTAAACTGCCGATAAATTTTATATGATTATACCAAATCATTCGAGTTTCATTCTAATCTGCTGAAATATGAATTATAAATAAAAGTTGAAAATCAAGTCATATTTTTCATTCGTGCATTTTGCAATTATGGATCTCTTCAAAATTTATTGAAAGAGACCAAACTCAAATTTTTTCTGAAAAAAAATTAGGGAATTCTCATTTATATTTTTGCATCACTGTAGGGACCTTTTTTTATGGTTGGAGACTTTTTTGGTTTTTTATATTTGTTCGATGCACATTCAGTAATCCGTATAATATATTATTTTCAAAAAATTTTCAGTTGAATTATATCAACAAATATCCATTTTTCACTGAACTACCAACGTCATCGAAACAAAGTCGAAAAATAAAAGTTTTAATAAATTCTGTTGAATGTGAAAATTTGCTTAAATCGGATGAAAGTCATGAACAAGGTGAATATTTATTAATGCATTAGAGAATTGTTTATTATTATGGATGATTGTCACTTATAATAAATGACGAAAAGCCAAAAAATGATAAAAAATTCTCTGCAAGAATCAGTCGAGAATGATTTTACTATTGAATTTATATATTTGTATATGCTTCATCAAAAATTGGCTAGAACAAATCAAGCATAATTTCCATCGTTTTCTCCAATTTTTTTCCATAAATTGTTTTCGATAAGAAGACTTTTATGAATTTGAATAAAAGGCAATTGACAATTGAGATTGAAGATTTTCTCATATGCTTGAATTAAAAGTCGATTGCATATAATAAAAACTAATATAATAGAAGTTGATTTTAGATGTACAAAAAATGCAAGAAAACTCGAAGCGCAGTAACGAAGACTTCAGTTAGAAATCCATCTTATTTATTTGCGTGATGAAATGTTCTAAGAACGTGAATGATGTTACGAAATCTTGTTTTTTAACAAAATTTTTATATTTTTTCACAGTTTGAATGATAATAATTATATCGAATGAATGAAAAAATCAAGAGAAAATTTACTAATTCAAAAAAATGACTGAAAAATTTTTTTGAGAAAATGAAAAGAGGCATGCAAATTTAAAAGAACGTCTTATGACGAAATAGTAAAATAAATTTTCTCTTATATCCACCATTTTTTATTGGATTATCATTTTCATTTTTTTTTATACTCCATAACTTATTTCTCCTATTTTATTGGTTATTGCATATTTATCCAAAAATTTTTCACAATTTCCATGTTAAAAAAGAATAAATGCAATCGATAGTATAGTTAGTTGTCTTACTTATTTGTTTATTTTACTTCGCCCGTAATTTTATAATTTTATTAATTTCCTTATTATATGAAATTTTTTTCTCATCTCTCAGTGTGTGGCCATAATCATTCTCAACCTCAAATTCTCTAGCTGAGGCCTGAGATTGAGGGCTTTGCAAAGTATCGTAGCTGTTCCTAATAGTGTACTGGATAGAGATACTTCTGGATAGAGATCTTTGTTTCTAGAAATCTGCTGAAGCCATTCTTTCAGTTTATAGGCTACAGTTTCAAATGCTCCAGTTATCACTGGAATTAAATTGGCTTTTACTTTCCAAATTTTCTCTAGTTCCTCTTTCAGCCCTTTCTATTTTTCTAACTTCTCGTATTCCTAACGTTCGTTTGGTATTACTATATCTATAGCCAGTGTTGATTTCTGATTCTTGTCCATTATCACGATATCTGGTTGATTGGCTAGCATGCAAGCCTATCTGGATGAGGAAGTCCCAAAGGATCGCCTCATTATTCTCCTCCATATGAATTGTAATATTAAATACTAATATTATTTAATAATATAATTTCAATGATTAATTTTCTTTCTAACTTTTTTTTTATTGATAATTTTTATTAATTAGCTACAATGATGAAAAGCCTACTGATATAACTTTGAGAAATTTCTGTAAATATTAAATATTCAATTTAAGTTGGCTAGCAAAACAACCACTTCTTCTATATGCATTTCGAAATGAATTTCATTAGCATGTTTTTATGAAACAAGTGTATGCGTTTCTTATGCAGTGTACTTTATTTACTTCACACATTAATTATAGGCTGGTTTTCCTAGAATAACCACTGCTAGAAAGCCAATCGCCAACATGGATCTACTCGTAACCATAACATTTTTTCATAGAAATTCTTCAATATACAATAAAAATAAGAAAGAGAATACACCACGAAAATATTTCTTGTCAGAATGAATCGTTAAATGGTAGCTGAGTCTTATGTTACTTTGGCCAGCATCGTAAATTCGATTTCTAATATTGGAAAGAGTCCTGATCAGTCCTGAAAATGTAGATGACTTCTTGAGGTTTATGCTTCTAGCGTAAAGATGCTATGACAAGACAGTCTCAACAAATAGTAATAGTTTTAATAGTTTTAGCTAAAGAACCCAGCCGAAATAGCAATGCCATTGTTTGAAAAAAAGGGTCACTGAATGGAACTTTAAATTTTTTTTTTCAATAATTTGGTAGAAAATCGTAGGTGTGATTCCAACATCATGCGACTTTTACTGTAAATGACACAGTTTAAATTCCTTTCATTGAACCTAACCTATTATATTTGAGCTCACAGCTGAAGTTTCAGGCTATTGCTTCAAAAATAATTTGTTCATCGATCTAAGTAAATTAATTATTAATTACAACTAGTTTCAAATTCGTCAAATCATTAGTGAATAACTAATTACCTAATTGAAAAGGATAGGAAACGAAAGAATTTCCAGTTCATAAATTTATAATTAATAGAATTGTCTGTCATTCGACTATTAACAATATTAATAATAATAAAATTGTATTCCTATGTATTTTTAAATTATAATTTTTAGGTTTTTATTTTTACGGTGAAATATTATTTTTGAAAAAAACATAGCTATTCCTAATATTGAATTATTAGATTTCAAATTTAAAAAAAAAATTTTGGGAACGTATTTGAATTTAAAACTATTCCGCTATTTCGCTTTAAAAGACAATTGCATAATATAAGTTATAAGTTTTATCAGTATTACTGATTCAGATTTTATCAATAATCTGTAGTCAAACACTTCGTTCGCTTTTTTCCTTTTGTTGAGTTTGTGATTGAATAGATTTAATAAAAAGATGAAAAAAATTATAATTAATGATGAGAGTAGTGGATACGAAATAAGCCTTAATTATCCATCAAAATCATTTGTTTGATTCTTTTTAAAATTTTTAATAACAATAACATGAATTTTAGAAAAATGAATAGAATTCGCTCGATTGTTTTTTGCATCATTTTACCGAAATATATATTAATAAGCGGATTTGCAAGAATATTATTAATCCTAAATTAAATTAGGTAAATTAAATTAAATTATCTGCAATGAAAATAAAAGTGAATAGCGATATAACTACTTAGTTTTTTTTAAAATTAAAGCTTTCACCATTACTGGTTAAACTCGCTCCACTGGCTTGTCGCATTGGACAAATGTGCCAGAGAGTCCCTTGGCGATAGAAATGCAGGTAAGTCGCCAGCATCACTCGGATTTTTGGACAAGTTCACTCCTGCTAGGGATAGAACCTTAGTAACGGCGCTCCGAATTGAGCAAAAACCCACTAAGCCATCTTGCATGGAGGTTTAAGGTTTTGTTTAAGGTTTCATGGTATATTATATTGTAATAATTTTTCGTGGAAAGCTATCTTTTGAAACGATTCTTGGTTGAGCTTTGGCATTAAATTTTAAGTGTGCCTAATAAATGGCAATCATTTCTTTTATTGCTTGTAAATTTTTAAGGAGTTTTTTTTTTTAATTTTCATCGATCATTCACGATTTCTTCTTTTCTTAAATCGCGCATAAATCATTTATTTATTTATTATTTATTTAAATTGAGAATAATTTATTATTTGTAAATTTTTATAATTTTTTGCAATTCGTTGAAATTCCCGCGACTTTTTTACATTTTTATTTTATATTATAAAAATCATCAAATCAATTGTCATTTTTTAAATAAATTTCTCGTTTTTTGCCTTAAACCATCACTTTTATCGATGTTTTCTTTCACTTCACTTTCACTTTTAATATTTTTACTATTAAAATGCCAAAAAGTTCATATCAAATCGTTAAAAATTTGGAAAATATATTACATTTTGAAAAATTTTTTTATTCTTTTCAGTTTATTTTTTTATAGATATTTGTTAGATTTATTATAAACCATTATTTATTCTATTGATCAATGAACACCAAAGCTTTCTTTCATCAAATGCAGTCATTCTTAATTAACTCGATACGATTTTTCTTCCTTCATATGTTATGTATGCAATTTTCTATCGACTTTTCTTGCCGGCAAAATTTGAGGATTTTTTTTTAAAACTGATTTTAAAAGGTATTAAAATTTAAAACAAGTAAAGTGAAATTGATTCAGCTGATTTAACAAATTAATTTGTAGAGAATCTGGATCTAATCCAGAATGGCCGAGTGGTGTATTGCTTTGAGGTCGATCACCATATATTCACATCTTTGCAAGGGTGTAATAAGAAGTAAAATCCGATTAGTTCTGAGGACCAATTTAATTCCAAATGACTTGACTATCAAAGCATTCTTATCCTAAACAGTATTCTTAGCCAGTTGAGGAAGCTAAACCAAAAATGATGAATGCTAATGGATTATAATAATCCGCAGAATTTATATTTTGAAAATTAATTTCTATCAAACATTCCAGTGAAATGCAAACTTGGTTCTCGAAAAATTTACGCAAAATTTTATTGAAATTTTTCTCGATTTTGAAATTTTATTTCAAATTTTAGGAAAATTTAAATTTAAATTCACATTTTTTTATTAATAAGTGGCTGAATAATTCATAATTCTAATCATCTTTTTTTGAGTTTTATTTAGTTTTTTGAATAATTTATAGCGATTTAATCGTCATGCAAATTTTTATTTCATGTTATTCAAACAGATTTCAATGCTAAGACCACATATTTTTTTAATAGGTATTATAGGTATTTCATACACAAACACAGTAAGGAATGATAAGTAAAATAGAATGGCTTTAAACGAAAAGTAGACTCAATAATTTAATAGGATGGCACAGCAAGTTGTTGCGCTCATTTTGGAATGTTTCCACTCGAAACGTCTCTACAGGGGTAAAGGTGATTTCAATCCGAATAATAATTCGACTCACCTTCCACAACTGAATAAATTTCTGGCAAAATTCACCCGGGCTAAACGAATGATAAGCTCTTATGAAAAAAAAAGACGACAAATACCGTAAATTAATTTCATTCTTTATTAAAGGTGTTCAAATTATAAATTATAGACAAGCACAAAATCTTCACAAAATATTTTATATCGATGCGATGAAGCTATTTTAGTCGTTTTTTTTTTATATAAAATCTCATTGTTCACATTATCAGACAATAGGCGACAAATATGTGGAAAAAATAGCGCTTTAGTCAATATCTACTATTAGTTTAACTTTAAATTTATTTTGTTATCAAAAATCTTCA